CTTTACCAACAGACATTCCTGGAATACGAGTATTCTCTCGCATTCGTGAACTTCATTCAGACTCACGTTCGATGTACCTTCTGTTTGTTCAACCAATTCCCGAAATTTATTCAACCAATTGGGTTGAGGAGATTTGACGTGCAAATAATTAAATTTGTGCTTCCATCTGGAACTAGGCGCGAGTGCGTCCGACGGAGGTCTGTGCTAGTGAACTTCCACCACCACAGGAGGTTATTATTCCCAATCTTCCTTCTTTGATTTTACACAATGGGTGTTTTATCACTTACTCGCCTCATTGGCAGTGATTGCAAATCATTCAAAGTAAAGAAACTACACTCCTCGATGGTCATCATTAATGGTATCGAGTTCATGCACTCCGTTCTGAAGTCGCTGGACGTTGGATCTGAGGGCATCTTTGGTGTCGATCACTTGTGTGTCAAATTTGCGATTGAGGAGGCAGTACGTCGTCTTAAAAAATGTGGATTGGACCCTATTTTCGTTATTCAGGGTCTCCCGCCTAGGCATGTGAGTTCCAGTATGTTCAACTTTATTTAACTAGGGTAAGGACTATAACTGGAAGGTTATCCGAAGCTACACCAAACGGCGCCCTGTGGAAGGTGTTCCTGCGTCATCACATTCGAAGCAGGAGGATTGTATTGTGTTGTACTCAAGGTCTCTTATCTGCTCAGTGCTTTCTTCTCTGGGCATGCGCTTTTATATGTGTCTTTATGGGGCTAATTCTGTCTGTGCTGCGTTATCAATTATCTTGGGATGTCCCGTACTGAGCAGCAACTCAGACTTTTACTTGTTTTATAAACCGGTGGCATGTTCGCAGAAAGAATACAACGCCGTTGAATATGCTCCCCTTTCGAGCTTTTCTTTAGATCCGACCCCGGATACTCCAGACCTATCCATCACAGATGCCCCAACATACTTCCTTGCTGCGCATGTTTATACTCCGGAGTTTTCGCCGCTGAACAGTATTCCGGAGTCTTCTAGACCTATTGTGGCTCTCGCGATGGACAGTATACTGATACGTGAACTACCATCTGCTGTTGGTATTCCTTCATACGCTCCGGGTCAGCCGAATATGGACCCATTCACAAAACTACAACATGTTGTAGACTGGCTGCAAAGAGTAGATCAAATTCAGGCCATACAGTCCATATTGGAATGTGTGGGTAACCCGCATAAAGCACACAACGTCGCCAATAATATCATCGACTTCCTTCCCAAATTTTTACCTGACTTTACGGGGGCTTCTAGGCTTCTATCTTATCTTGGTGTTACAAATGGCTGCAACCTAGATATTAAAACTCCCCATTTGGAAAGAAATGAAAACTTTTCACCATTTGCATTTTTCAAAGATGTACTCGAAATTTTGAAGGGCAACATCGTAGCCTTCGACCGTCCAGAATTTACGAGCGGATGGCCTAGCGCGCTGCAGTCACTTTACCACAGTGGAAACTTTTGTCCTGGCCTCCTCACAGCACTTTATTGTAAAGATGGGAGGGTTATGCATCCATTTCTACCGTGCCTTTATGAATTCCCCGAAGAAGGAAGAAAAGGTCGGATTTTGCGCCATCTGTCTTACGCGCTGTTTATCGGCCTTGAGAATAGATTAGGCTTCCAGAGGAAGCTTCTAGGAGTGCGTCCGCACGTAAAGGAAGTCATTTATAATGGCAACGGGCAGTTCATAACATGTCATCTGCACGTCAAGCCGTTAGACTTACCGCCTGATAGTTCCCTAGACAGTTTTTTCGCGAAATACCTTTCATTCAACCCCATTGCAGATATACCGGATTGGTGTAATGTGCTTCTTTTATGCTGCTCCATATGGCATTCGCAGACTGAACCGTATGATCGCCATTCGCACTGTTCAATTTCTCAGTGTCCACCGGTGCTCTCGTTTCTCCTGTGTGCCGTGGTGCATTACTTTAACTCTGCCCTTGATACTTCCACGCTTCTTAAACATTATTCCTCCCTCCTCTCCTTCTCCCGCACCGAAGGCGAGAAGTATGTTCAACCAGCAAACAGTGAACTTACCACAGTTTCTGTTGAAACTTCCACTGTCTTGGATATATATGAACTGGTGAATATTTATGGTGAATTAATAGATCTTGTGTATTTACTAAATGCACTACTCCACCCCACCGACGCTAAAACCCCTACTGACTCAAATTACAGCAGTTCTCTTCCTCTTGGAATGCTTATTCCGTCTTTTCATCTCGCGCATCAGATTGCGTTATGCTTAATACTTAACAATGAGTCTGCAAAATCGACTTTAGCAGCAAGATTTTGGTTACCAAAATTGTTTTATCCCTCGCCTGACCCTGCGGCGGCAATGAAATTGCGTGATGCCGCAATCCTGTTCACAAAACTCGTCAATGCCCTCCCAACAATTCGAGTCAAGTGGGAGCCTTTAGACTTTGATATTACTGACCCACCCACCGCCTTCGTACCAAAAAGCCAGAGAACACCGGGCTCGATCAACCAAAAGCAATTCGTGAATCCCAGACAGAGGACTAAGCCCGCTTCCTCTGAACGAACTAATAGTCACGCCAATGTCTGTCCTCCCCGTTCGGCAACACTCCGTGATTCCTCAAACATTCCGCCCGGAATGCGGAATTCTCCGATGGTAAGGCAGCGGATTTCAGCACCGACCGAATATAATACACGAAAGACAAGTCTGGCCGGTTCCGGTAGAGGACGTGGCCGAGGAGCAGCGAACAATGGAGGAAGAAGCTATGCCGATCGGCTGATACAACGTTACAGTCAGGCTCCACCTAGTCAATAGATCGTTCCAAATTTTTGCCTCTTTATTTATCCTAATTTGCATCCTCTTCTCGTTTTTATTGCGCCATTCCTACATTTGTATCGGACAAACGATAAAAAAACTACTTTAATACCTTTTATTATTAATTGTCTTCCTACTCGGTTTGGTATTAAATTGAGTATAGCAAAGGCTTATTTCGGTATATAAGTAGCCAAAACTGGAATAAAGTCACGAGTGTTTCGGGAGTATGAGTGCTGCCACTACGGAATTCTAGTCTTTCGTACTTTGTAGTTTTTCTGTCCGGCTGCTGGCTGCAGAGATCACCTGACAGAGATCACAGACATATCAGTGCTGATGCATGTGTTCAGGTGTTCTGCGTTTAGTCAGTGTTTGCAATGTTCCTGAATTATTTTAATGCAGTCACTTCTCAGGTGCAGGGTGTTTGCAAAACTGGTCAGATATCTAGTGATACGTTGGCAACGAAAACATGGCGATAGCAGTTGCCCAGTAGCAACTTTTTCTTCCGGCGTTGGCTGCAATAGCAGGCCGATGCGTGGTGCCGAAACTGCTAACGCCCACAGGTCGGATCATGTTCCCGTTGGCACTTGTCCAGAATTCCACTTCTCAGTCACATAGGTTTTCATGTGCAAGGCGCTTTGATGTCGCAAA